TGATTTTTCTTTCGCAGTCCCCTTGAAATAGTTTGACCTCCGGCACTTTTGTAGCCAGCTAGACAGCCATTTCTTTCTCTAATGCAGCACATTTGTGATCTAATGAACGGACACATTCAACCATTCTAATCTAAATTGACAGTTGTAAGGAGTTTCGCACAAAATCTCACAGGAAAACTTTCGCTAATCCAACCAATTCTGATAACAGCTTGCTCAATTGTAATAGATATACTACTTCATTGATAGGTTTATTATAAATACAGTCGGGTCCTCTATATAACGAAGTCTCTAAATCCCGAGAAAAAGTTTGTTATATGGAAAATTCTTTTTATAAAGGTTCATCTTTCAATTTTCTTTATATAAACTACATAAAACAAATTTTAAATTTATAAACATTATATATTTTAAAAAAAGTAATTATTCACACATTTTTGTACATTAATATATATTTATTCAATTCCTACTATTAGCTCACACAATCTCTACATATTTATTTATTTGTTTTTTATTTATTTATCTTGGTGGAATGTTCAATCATTAATAAAATACATTTTAAAGCACTCATTGGAGCTGAAATTTTATATACATGATTATTTTGGATGACAATACAATAATTTAATTATATTTAATAAAAATTAATTGATTAAAACTAATTATTTAAAGAATTACTAATACAGCTATGTTGGCGACTTAGCGATCATTTTGACGAATTGAGTCAAAGCTTAAAAAGGTTTTTTTCTCACATGTTAAAGCATTCAGTTGAACTGAAATTTTGTTACACGATTGTTTTGGATGACAATACGATACTTTAATGATAATTAATAGAAATTAATGACCACTTAATGTTGTGATTCTGTCCTATGTATGTACATATTTACATTAATTGTAACTGTTTAATAAAAAGTTGCTAAAATAAAAATTTTCTTTGTTGATCTAAGTAGGAATTAACTTAAAATTTTTTTTATATATAACTTGTTTCATATATCTTACCTATAAAAAAAGAAAGGAAGAAAAACTGCAGGGAAAGTTTCTTGACGCCTTTATCCACTTCCTGAAAAATTAAATTTTTTTCTTTGATGCTCAAGCACTTACATTTTGACATTTTCAAGCTACAAGAAACGAAGTTGACAACTCCACTGAGGATAAAAGGGGATCTCTTAGATGTTTCTAGTGAACTGAACAATGAGGGTTAAAGGTTGCAATTCTTGGATGAAACGCCCAGAATTCTATTGCTCTCAGTGTGCTGGGCACCTAATAAAACCAGTTCAAGATTTATGACCACCATAAAATGTGTTAAAAGAGAGTACAACTTGAAATATCCAGAAATACTTGTAAATAGGGAGAAAAAAATTGTATCGCAAGAGAAAAAGTTCGTTATAGAGAAAATTCACTTCACTTTTGGGAGGTTATTTTACGAAGAAAATAGTGAGAATGTTCTTGGTTCCAGGAAAAAGTTCGCTATATAGAAAAATTTGCAATATAGAGGCTCGTAATATGGAGGTTCGACTAAAGTTACGTTTCCTAAAAAAAAACATCTAATTACTCTGAAATCTTAATCATTCTCTATTTTCTATGCACATCACATCACATCTACAATTTAAAAACAGGATGTTTATTAATAAAACACAAAATAAGTCATTAATAGTAAAGAAATGAAACAGGATTAATATTTTCTCTTTTCTGAAAATTATTGGTTTTGAGTTATAAATATCAGTACCAAAATCTATGATTTGGGCATTATATAATCAATATTGTTGCGTAGTTGAACGTCGCGATGGCTCACGTAATTAACGGGCATATTCTTTCGAAGTAAAAATCGTAGCTTATTCCGGATCACTGTCTAGTAATCACAGTAGATTTTCTTCTAACAGGAAACAAATAACGAACATTTATAATTCTAAAACAGAATTAATTCAAACATCACACAAACATTAAAATCATTCATTCTAATTCCGCAGTAACAATTCTGCATTAGACAAATAAAACGCACATTTGCCATTAAATATTTGACTTCAAAGTTATTTCTCTGCATTGTCCTTATATAGGCTAAGAAGAGTCTTCTAGGAGTTTCTAGTCAAATAATCATCCTAAACGAGTGCTTCTCAAACTTTCAATATTTACGACCCAATATTCAGTCATACGTCCCTTTGGCGGCACCCCCTCCATACAATAGCAATGTATTAAATTCAATAATAACATACTTTGACGCTAAAACTGTCACCGGCGTATATAAACGTCTTGCCCAATAAAAGCGTTAATTTTCCCGGACGTATATATATGTCTTTCCGAAGTATAATCTTTTCTGTGCATTGCTTTCCATAAAATTATTCCAAAAACTTTGGAATGGAATAAAAGGACATCGACAGTGTTGGCGAAGAATTTACTCACTTCAGAGGATTTGCTTATTTATTCCTTTTCTACCCCTTCCCCACAATATGTCGCTTACGTGAAAGGTTGCATTGGGGAGCGAATAGCGTACAATTTTATCGGCAGTTAAAGGATTAATTATAAACCGTACAAATTATCAAGATAAGTGTTAATTTTTGTATACGTATAACTTTATACATTACAAGCCCATGGTTTCACTGGCAAAAATAATTATGAATTAATTATAAAATACATTGTGCAGTACAGATACATTAATAAGTGTATTATATCAGTGTAAATGTGTATTTTATTTTTTATTGTGTGTTTACTTTCAGTAAATTAGTAATTTTTTAAAATAATCTTTTGTTTTCGACTTTTCAATATGCTCGCGCCCCCTTGCACAGTTATCACGCCCCCTAGGGGGGGTGAGCCCCACAGTTTGAGATACGCTGTCCTAAACCTTTCTGGATTTTTGAAGACATTTGTTTTAATCGTCAAATTCGACGAGGAAATTAGTCGCCAATCTGGGGATAAGATCATTCCCAAACACACAGGGTAATTGACAGTATTTTCTCTAAGCCTGCAAGCGATCTTTCCTGCCTTAATACCCTTTCGGCAGACAAGCCGAAATTTCCATTACAAACTCGTGTTGTTTTAGAGTGCGAAGTAAACTGAAACCCCAAACCAAATCTATCAATTAATCCATAACAATGCGAAATAATGGTATCAAATAAGAAGTATAAGAAGCTAAATATTTTTTTCTAACTGAGTAATTTCTTAACACAAATTTCATTTTGGAGATTTTTTCTTCTTTCTAAAGTGTTTTGACAAAAAAAAAATAGGAAAAAAAAAAGCAGCTATTTTATATTAATACCAAAATACATAAGAAATTCCACGTACAGTATGAAATTTCTTTTATTTTCTGGGATATTTTTAGACAAATTTGAGATATCTCGTCCTTTTTTGTGACAAAAGCAGATAACATTAGATAAGTTTCTAAGTATTGGTAATATGAAAACACTCAGCTGTTTTCTCCACATAAAAAGGTAAACAAAATGTGTTAGAAAAATGGTGCTATAAGTTATACGTTAAATGCAGTAATAAGTTATGCAATTAGATGCAGTTAAAAACAGAAAAAAGAGGAAGCATTATAGAAAATATTTCTTAAAGAAATAAGTAAATATATAAAATTTAAAAGCTTTAGTAGATTAAATTAAATCGTACTTTAAATTAAACAACAATTGCATGGAAAAATAAAACATTCTCTAACTATTATCCTTTTTTTTTGTTTATTTAATAAGTTGTTGTTGTTGTTACTAATGCCACCTGCCTGACGAAGTCAGATCGAGGCTCGCGAAATTCATCGTGGGTAAGGGCTAGAATTTTTACGCCTGTCGTTAGCCTTAGCTTTGAGCACCATGTAAGTGACAGTACGATTTTGCTCGGTTCCACCCCAATTTAGAGGGAGAAGGCCCTGGGGTGGCCAGGGGTCTCCTACCTCCCTTCCCCTTCCACCAACCACACGAGAGGACTTGCGGCTCGACGGCTATTTAGCCATGCCGCAAAGGCACTATACATTTACAAACATCCATGTCTTCTCCGGGATTCGAACCCAGTCCCTATGGCACCGCAGTCAGCGTCACTAACCTACGATTATTTAGTTAATGTAATTAATAATTATTATTTAATTAATCTGTAAATGATTTTGGTGGAAATGTTTCCTTATATTTTTCATATATTTCGGTTCTACCGTCAGCTTCAATTGTTACCTTGTGATGTCATAGCAACCATTCTCTCGAAAATTAAAACAAGATTTTCTTCTTTTCCTATTTTACTTTTAGAAAATTTTTTTAAAAATAAGATTTCGGAAATATCCTTGCACATAAGTAACCAGAACAGGTGTGTTAAAGGAAGGGGGGGGGGGGATCATTACACTTCATAAAGGACTTGGGTAAGAAAAAATTTTAAAAGAAGAATTATATTGAAAAGCCTGTTTTAAGAAAAGAAAGTAGATTTCTTAGACATTTTTTAATGACTAATAATAGTCTACACATACTAATGTATTATTAACTTTATATAGATATACATATATGCATGTACGTGCATATTTATATATATAAACTACAATTTATGTCTTATTCAACTAGGCTTCGCTACAAATAGTCTTCAGTTAAACCGGTCATGCAGATAAAGAAATCATTTGCATTCTTGTTTCTAACTTTAGGTATACTTGCAGTAAAAGTAGCAAAAGTTAAATATAACATTGTTTAAGCTAAAGAATCTGTAGAAATTTTATGGTAGGAACATTGACGTGCATACTTATTAATCATTAAAATTTGCTGCAGGAGTTTCATAATTTAATTCATATGTCTCCAGTTCATTTGGAATCTATTAATACCATTTGAGCAGTGATCTCCAAACTTGTTTTATCTCATACAAAAAGCAAAAGTAGTTATAAGAATTACCCCGTAATACATTTTTATATCCTGAATTTATTTCTTAGGCATACCCCTAAGTATCACTCTGCGTATCCCTCTTTGGTTTCCACTGTATTAGAATAAAATAAATTATATACCATTACATTATAAATAAAATAAATGCCTTTTAAATAACTAAACCGCAGTGGTGTAGCCGCCCAGCCAGTATGGTGGATATGATTCTCGGATTGTAACCGAGTGGTTTCGAGTTCGAATCCCGAGTAAGGCATGGTTGTATCTTCTTCGGGAAAAGAAGTCGGACTCTTTTAAAGCAGCGCACCCCTTCTGTTATATGCTGGGATCATCATTTGTAATAAACGTATATATTCTTCTGTTTGTGTTGTATGTTTCTGTGTTCTTCCATTCGTATTTCATATGTATCCCAGGATATTAACACACAACAGCAACAACCGCAGTGGTGTAACGGAGAATATTAGGGCACCACTGCAAAGTCAGGTTTTGGGCGCCCCAAGCTCAAATACGTACTTGGCATCAGTCAGACTCCCCCCTCCCTTCGTACTGCGGGGGTTGCAGGGGTTCACGTTATGCCATTGCCAAACCCTATTTGTTTAATTAAGGTTTTCTAACATGATGTTTGGAAGTGATCCTTAAAAAATTTTAATATTGAGTATATTTTAAATTTGGAAAGAAGTGGGTAATGGGGTGAACACAAATACATGATCCCTTTCAAGAAAACTTTCTTCGGAAATCGAATAATTTAAAATTAAACAATTTCATTATACAAATTGTATTCAAAATACGAAATATTCTGTATTATTGCGTGTGAGGTAAAAATTTTCCTTGAAGTATGTATATATATATATATATATAGATGTATATATATATATATATACATATATATATATATAAA